GTTAGGGACGAAATCCTTTAAATTTTCTCTGTCTTCCAACTGGGATTGCCCTGATAAAGGCCTACATTTAATGTATGTATGTAGGTAAAAGTAAACATGCACTGAAAATGAAGAAACTATATCGTTCAAAACAAATAAATTTAAAGGAAACTTTGGATCACCTAGCTTCGGGGAAGGATAGCATACGGCCCTATATCTTCCTCGTAGGAGTCATGAATGGTTGAAACTAGGAATAACCCAACAGAGCCTTACAAGATACCTCTAGTTGTTTTGAGCTTAACACTTCCCAAAACCATTTTCTCATTGGAGCGCGTTATTTTTGCATGCCTTCTGTCCCATTGATTTACCGTGGTGAGCCTTTTACGAGAGCAAACGTGAAGCACGACAAATTTTTGCCAGCGAGTCCATTCGGCGGCAGTGATTTATATTATATCGAAATGTCCACATTTACAAGACGGTTTCCCTCATCCCGGACCTCGCTCGTATGCCGCGCGCGACGACGCACGCGATTCGCGGCGCGTCCGCGTTTCTTTTCTCCGAAAAAGGGACTTGCGGTGAGCTGTGCAATCTCTCTTTGAAGCGTTCCTTTTGATACTTCTTTCGGAAGGAAATATGCTGTTGATCTTTTGATTGACTCTGTATGCTATACTTTTTTTGGTAAGAGTAATATTCACACATAAACGTCCTATAGATTCCTGACCCAATTTCCCCAGTGAGCTGCCTAAATTTCCAAGTTTTTTTGTGAATTTGTCTTAGATTTATGCTATTGGATCAGGCATTATCGTCAGACGGGGATATCCACCAGGGTTAAGCCCAAGAGAGGGCACAAACTTCAGGGAGAATGGGGATTGCTCCGCATCCTGAATTGTTTCTTATCCTGCTTAAGGCTCAGCGCCGTTTCAACAAAATGTGATGTTTCACGCGATCCCAAATTCACTGTCACAACAATGCCCTCGTATCTTGCGATAGCGCCTTAAATCATTGCAAAGATTCAACCTGTTGCCATATTTCGTGATTTGCGAGCTCATAGAAATGTTTTCTATTGAGGTCGTCTATTTTGTTCTTGTGTACGAGGTCATTGTTTCGTCGCTTTTATGTCAATTTTAACATTCTATTATTGATTCAGCATTTTAGGATATCATACTCATCCGTCTAATGCCCATCAGCACATACGAATGAAATGTCAACGGCGGTGATAAATTTTAAGACTGTTAGTTCACAGAAGAGTCTCTCTCGTGGTTTCACTAGCTCTTTTTGCTCTTATGAAGAAACCCCTGAATTGATTGCGGAGTTTAGCTGCTCCTGGCGCAAGCGAAGACGTGGGAAATGCAGCCCAACCGGCCGAGAAACAGAAACTTGGCCATCGCCGTATCGATGAACAGGGAGAGGTCAGTAGTCACAAAATTTTTTTCGACCATTCGCTCATTCTGGAAATGATGAGATGGTGTCTCGATCGGCGATCGAGATCGATTACGTGAAAAATTCGAAATATTTGGGATTTTCAAGATTAGGTTTGTGGATTTTGTCAAGTCGCTGATTTAGGGCGTAGCGATGTAAAGTGGAATAGATGAACGCTAAGAGTAGGTCACTAAAAGCTTGACTAAATTTGCACTTTTTCAAAGCCGCATTTTGACTTTATTTATCCTCATCATCCTGAATGCCATTTCCACCACGGCATTGCAGGCCGATCGCATTAGGGAGCACAAAAAATACTTGAAAGTCAGTGAAAAGTTTCCCTAGTCTATACGAAAGAGGACGCAAAAAAATTTGGTTTCCGAGCATCCTTTAGTTGGTTAGAATCTCAGAGATTTTGTGTAATGTAGGGTGATTGCAGGTCAGTTACAAGAAGGTGCCCACAAATGCGCTTATGAGCGCTATTCAGTTGGGCATCGCCAACTCCATCGGCAGCCTTGCATCTCGGCCTGATCGAGATTTGTTACTGCAAGATTTTCAAAAGATCGAAAATGTAGCATTTCCTGCGTAAGTGAAAGATTTCGTGTGCTTCAAGTTTTTTTTACCTTTTTATACATTCTAGACTATTTTGATTATGGGCTTTATTTTCCATGTTTGATTTGCCTTGTTTAAGTGCTGGCTCGGCTACTACACCATCGCACTCGTTTGGTGATTTTCGCTTCAAGACCTATGCACCGATTGCGTTTCGCTACTTCAGGGAACTGTTCAATATTAAACCGGCAGATTTCTTGGTAAGGTTTTTATTAAAGCGCACACATTACGGTCAAGGTGTTTCCCGAATAGTTTCTCGTACATCACTTTTCCCTCATAAAGGCTTAAAATTAGCTGGCAACTTTTCCTTCTCATGTCCTAAATTCCTTAAATTCCTGATTTATCTGTGAACACCGCCAGATATAAAAAAATCAATGCTTGAAGTGACTTGATTGGGTGAGAAAAGAGTTGCATGAAAAACCTTTTCTGTGCACTGGAAATATGACCCGGCTCTTATGTCATTCTGGTTGGAAAGCCAAAGAATTAAGAGGATTCTTGTCCAACTCGCCTGGGGTGGGATAGCAAACGGCTCCTGTGTGTGTGTGTTCTGGCATCACGAAAAGTGCTTGCATTTATTCTTTAATCAACAGCGCACAGAGAAGATGTCTCTTTCCGCTTCGCGTCACTTGCTGTCAAAAGCAAGCGTTAGTCTCTTCAGAAATTCACAAGTAAAAGCTGCAAAAAATTGTGGTCTTTGAACTAGACAAGAAAAATACGGTCTTCATCAGACAGATTATTACGTGAGGGTCGTTTTCGTGGTTTTTGAGAAGTGAGCGAAACAGCTCGGTAGGTCGATCAGGCGCGATTGCCCTCGTCGTGCATTCTTACCCTAGCAACATCATAGGTTTTCTCTTATCTTTCATCACATATTCCTTTTCAGAGGTCTACGTGTACGGAACCATTGAGGGAACTGTCGAATGCTGGTGCATCTGGATCAATTTTCTATGTTTCACAAGATGATCAATTTATTATCAAAACAGTACAGCACAAAGAGGCTGAATTCCTGCAAAAATTATTGCCCGGGTATTACATGGTGAGT